TGGTCAAACAAAAATGTACACCCTGATTCCCACCACAAAAGCTCGTCTCTGACCCAGTTCCCTACCAAAGCTGACATGGCTGGGCTCCAGCGCATCAGGCTGGATCCCGGCGGCGACTGCCTCGTGTGAAGCCGCTCTCAACCCGGCTGGAAGCATCGGCGTTGGATGTGCTCCCCACACATATGCAGGGCCTATAATTCGTGGCTAGATGAGTCCTGCAAAAAGAGTTTCTCCAAATGTTACCTCAAGCCATGGGAAATCTCAAAGACCGGTCCCCATTCCAATCGAAACGCACATCCAGTGCAATAGCTGCCTTAAAATTCTGCTTTGTTCCCAAGCTTTCATCAACACTGCTGTTCCCTCGCAGCCGGGATTAGATATGGGTACCTACCCTTGTGCAGGTGGGCAGTGAGGGCCAAATCCAAAGCTACTTGCTATTTGAAGAACTTTCAACTCACGGTTTTAGGTGAGTCGATCCCAATTGTTGGAGTGAACATTACAAATACTACAGTACAGCAGAACTGCCGAAATGCATTGCTGCCTTAAGGGATAAGAAGCTACTAGGGGCTCCTGGCCTTACTAGGAGCAAGGACGCTACGAACGGGGCTCCTGGCATCGCTACGAACGGAGCATTTTTACGACTAGTAACAAGAAGCTATGAACCATCTGTTCAAGCTGTTGCTGGGGCACCTCTCGCCACGTTCAGCTTCTCCGTCCACGTTTGGCTTCGCGGGTCCGGTCGCACCTTGTCATACCAGGCTTCTGCCGCAGAGAGGTTGCCTGAGCCAAACGTCAAACCACATAGACCCACTCAGTCACTCTTTCCTCAGCGCGTCGCAGGTTCCTTTTGCCAAAGAGAGTGTTTCTTTTCCCCACATGTTGTGTAAAAACTTCATCCCGTCCACTGGTTCACACACGGACACGCGTCGTCACCAGTGTGGCGTTGATTCTTCGGACATGAATGGCCCGCGGTCGCCTTGATTGGCCGCTGCGGTCACTAGACTGTTGAACTCCACGTCGTCCAGCCTCGGTGAGCACCACGAAATACTGCCATGGGGAGAGGCGTTCCCAAGGAAAAAGACCGGCACCCAACACTGAAATGCCCCCCAACACTGAGGCAACATGCACAGTGAGCTAGCTTGCAAACAGTCTCCCCTCCCAGTTTCATGCAGCAAGACCAATGACTTGAGTATGGCAGAAAACTTCAAGGTGCAGTTTCTGGACTGAATCCCCACCAGCAAACACAACAAATGGCATCAGCACTTTAAGAGCAAGGCTTCACGGAGAAGAGCTGCGCCTGGCGACGCCAGTTCACCGCTGGCACCTGTCAGTGCCTCTCGTCTATCCCCTTTTCGCTCAGCCAGGAGAGCTTGGGACTGAAGCATTTCCGAGGCTGTGGATGTGGAACTGCTGCAACAGACTGTAGCATGTTAGTGTCAGGAGCTTCCAGAAGTTCCGTGTCATCGGTGAGTCTGAAAACTGCTGGGGCTCCCTGGCATTCTCAAACCACTGCTCTGCACCTAAGGGTGCGACAAAGCAATTGCTTCAGGCCAACAGGGCCTCGACATAGAAAAAAGAAAAAAGTCGTTCTACTTGTTGTCCTTCCTCGGGCAGCTTCAACAACGTCAAGAAACCAGCCAGCTACCATTACCATCCCAGCTCCGCTTCCGCAAGGAGTAAGTAATTAGGAGATATCGAAGCCCTTTCCAAACGTGTTGTCATTTAACAAGTGCTGTATATGTAATTAAGTTTATTTGATTTTACTGTTTACCGACCGCGTGGACATGTCCGAGAGTCGCACGCTGGAGATCGCCCTCCTGCGCTGCCTAGCGTTGGATGAAAAGGTATAGGCCAGGCAGGTGCAACTATATGTGTGAAAGTATGTGAAAGGTACCCTCACAAGAAGTGAGTCTGGCTTCCCACTTCCCACTTCCTACCAGACGGGTCCGTAACCGACGTTCTTGCCAACAACAGTGCTCCAGCGCACTGTCGAAAGCGTTGCAACATGTTGCGCCGGACCACAGCTAGCCCACATGCTCAACTGAGTTCTGAGATCTACAAACTAGTAGCTTCTTGTTACTACTAGTAAGGCACTTGTTACTAGAAGCGATGCACTTGTTACTAGTAGCTTCTTGTTACTACTACTAGGGCACTTGTTACTAGAAGCGATGCACTTGTTCCTGGATGCTTTGCCTAATTTTGGCACATCGACCAAGGGTCGTGTTGAGTCCGCCGTGACACCGGTCGGTACGAATCCTCGGGTCCGTCGAATCCCGGCACCAGGTCGATCAAGGGCGAGAAGGTGGCAGCTTCCAAGTCGATCCAAAGCCTGGGCGAACACCGCGGAGAAAGCACCGAGCACCGAGAGGCACGCGGAGAGAGCACGGTGGAAACCCGGAGCGTTTCCGTTTTGGGGGAGGAGAAGCATGTCCCCGCCACGGGCTGAGAGAAGAAAACGAACAAAAGTCAATCGATGCACTGCACGGCTAGCAACCTTGTTATCTTGTCATCTGTTCAGCATGGCATGAGCGGGTTTGGAAATCTCAATCCAAAAATGGCACGGGTAATTGTTCAATTCTCCACATCTTTTCATTGGGTGCCCCGGCCGCAAGGCTTCATCTAAGCATATGGTGGCGCTTAGTTCGTCGCGCGCACGGATGGCCTGGTCCATACGCTTGCACCTTGGTGAGCCAAAGTAAGTTGGTAGCGTGATAGCTTGATGTGGTTGCATGATGTTGTACGGTCGATCTTGTTCTGGTTCCCTGGTTCTTGACCTTGGCATTTGTCTGCACTGTCTCCTTGAGCCCAGTTTTCCTAGAAACATCAATAGCTATTTTGCCCTCTTTTTAGCCATGGCGGCCATGGCGTCTGATTGTTTTACCCAGCTTCCGTCCCGATCGATCTCTTTCGTTTGAATCCCTTGTGCTTCCCCCAATCGGTCATAATCGGTCACTGTGGACGGCCCTGTGGGCCCTGCAGCTGCAACTTCACTTCCATGCGTCGCCCATCGACCTGCTCGATGATACATGTTTAAGTTTAGATATTAACCTTGAGCACTCTACTACAATACTCTACAAGGCTTCTGGGCACTGAAGCATGCATTCCAGTTATTGCGGGCTGAAGGCCTTCATCAAAATCTATTGCAACAGCTTCCAAGATGTAAGAAATCAAATCAATTTGTCAAAGGATTTTCACGTGGATTTCCACGCCTAGGCTTCGAAACCTTGAACAACTGCCAAACTGACCTTCATCTGCCGTTTTCTCTGGTATTCCCTGACGGTGTTATAGTTATAATTCATGTGACCACTGCTTTGGACAATTCATGGCTGCCATGACCTGATATCTGAACCCTTCGCTGGCCTCTCCAGCATTTGGCCTAAGCTGAGATCGACTGGTTCTCTCTGTCCTCTCTCTCTCTCTCTCTTTAACTCGATGCGCCAATGAATATGCTTTGAATAAATAATAAGTGTTGACCTGATTCAGGCTCCTCTGCGGCTGGCGATGTTTGGTTTGTGCAACCAATATAAATATATATATATATGTGTGTGTTTATAGTGTGTGTGTAAGTGTGTTAAAAGAGAGAGAGAGAGAGAGAGAGATATACACATAATGAACAGAAAATGTCTGGTCTCACAGCGTGGGTAGTGCTTTTGCATGTGTTCACTCCCTCAGCTCATCCAAAGGCTTCCCGGCAACACGCACGATAGCTCGGGCCTCAGTTGCCAAGGCTTCGTCCAGAAATGTCCCGAAGATGTCTCTCCACAAACAAGTGCGGATCAAAAGCCTCAGACAAATTCGAGGTTTGCCGTTGGAATCCCGTGAAGAAGAAAAACAAGAAGGCAACGTCCAAAATTGCTTCGTTCATGTGGTTCGGGCGACCGATGCAGCCAAAGGAGGACCGCAGCGGCAGACCTGGAGACACACAGGTCACACATCCTCTCTTCCCTAGCCGCTGTGGGCAGTGGGGATGCATCTTTGAGTCGGGGTTTGGCTGGCTTAAGGTCAGTATACGGTTGGCCTCATCTTGCAGGCTTCTGGAGGTTGGAGAGGGCCCCACTGATGCTTTGGCTTCAAATATCTGTTTTCCACCACGAGCGAAGGCCAAAGGCTGGGCGTGGGTTCGGTGATGCCCTGAATGCATATCCACTGGTTTCCCATGCCTTCGAAGGGGCCGGGCCGCGATACCGTGGGAAGAAAGCAACTCTTTGCATATGGTGCCTTCACACCTCAACATCAACGTTTCAACAAACTTGTGGACATGTGGATGCCAGGTCCGTGTGAGATACTAAGGATGAGTAGCATGAATTGGGCAACAACAACAAGAAGAAGAAGAACAACAACAACAAGAACAACAATAGGAGCGGAATCAGTGACCTATGTGACCTGAAGTCGCAGCTTGTCGCAACAATAGGTCACATAGGATGCTTGTCGCAACAGTTGCGGTGTTCCAAGAGGATGTGGCTGACATTGCTTTTACTCGTCTAGTGTCTAGTTTTAGTGACAACGGAGTCGAGGAGGCCTTGCCACTGCTCGACAGGGCTCCATTGGTATGCGTATATGCTTCGAACCAGCCTCCACAAAGGCCTTGATGAGGTCAGGCGACCACTCCTGAGGCCAAGCAGCAGCACAGCTTTCTACGGCTTCTGCGGTATTCATCTACCCAACATACTCTGCATCAGATCCAGCTATCCAGCGCACTGATCCAGCTGATCGGCGCGCGACCTCCGACTCCCCCCCCGGATCGTCCGACGCCCGCCGCGCCGCGACATCGCGCGCCGCGGTCCTTCCGCGCCCTGGACGCGACATCCATGGCTCCACTCCGCACACCGAGCACAAGCAGTTATGCCATGCCAGCGGAGGCGTCAGAGTCCTGACCGGAGGTATCCCGAGGTCATGGCTTCTTCACACATGTCCATCTTCCAGTGTACTTGGACCACAGTGGCCTATTCCATGAAGGTGCTCGAAACCCTATAGTCTGAGTAAAATCGGCGCACCTTTCATCACTGCCCCATCTCGTTGTTTCGAGGAAAGCTGTGCGGAGAAAAAGGTGCAATTTCCAAAGCTGAGAAATGAGATCTAGTTCCCATCAAATCAACCGTGGCCTCTTTGTCCAATCTTTTGCACTGGAGCAAGACTGTGCGCTTCAGAACCCAACGGGCTGGAGCATTTCTGCACTGCCGGCCCCTCTCAACCCGCTTGTCTCGCGCTCCTGCCAAGGACTCACCACAGTCGGGTGTTTGCAGGTGATGGTCTGGTGTGGAGTGTCTGACGTGTATGTGGTGGACTTAGTGGTTTGTGGATCTGCAAGTCAAGCCACATGTTGAATCTTGCAGAATTTGTGGGCGACAAAGGTGCTGTGAAATGTCGGGTCAGCCCACCAAGAACCTCTGCATGTATAGATAGCACGAAAACAAAACCAACATTCATCCAAGATGTACTATTTACATAATACAGTAGCATTGAGAAGTTCAATGTATATAGGTGTGTATGTGTGCGACTCTGACAGTTATACTTCATTGTGGTTTGCAGCTACGCGATTCCCCGGCCAAAATTATTCCGCACGGTTTATCTCAGCCCGGCAGCACCTAGCAGACCAGCAGGCTGCTTCGTCGCGCTTGCATTCTCTTGGCGATGCCTTCGATATAATTCCAAAGCAACCACACGGTGCCTTAAATAAGAACCAGCCATCAACATATGCACAAAAACGGCCTATGCTATTCTATGCTTGCAACTCCTGCAGCCAACACGTGCACATGTTTCCATACGAGCGCAAAAGGTCTCGGCTCTCTTGCACATGAAAAGCCGTTCATGGCTGGTGCGCTGAGACAAAGGTGGCTCAAACCTGACCAAAGTCTTGCACGGCAATGGACTCC